CTAGTGAAAACATGGAGCCACGTGGGAGAGATCAAGGAGGCAGTGAGGAGGGGGGCTGGGCTAGGAGAGCCAGCCCTTAACTCATAACAGCCTCAGCCACCACTCTGGACACCAGGGAAGGCGCCCTTCAAGGTTGGAAATGGGAGGTAGGTACAGGGGTTACAGGGGGCCCAATAAAATGATTTGCCCAGGGTCCGATTAATATTATAGACGGCTCTGACATACACACAGATAATCGGTGTAGCTTACCAAGGTCCACTCTAGAATACATACATATATATATATATATATATATATATATATTATATTTGAATAAACATGCTATCCACACACTTTCATAAGAATCATATTAGAAATACAGACTCTTAGCCTCTTCCCAAATAACGTTCATATATTCCTCGAGTGCATGCAATTAGTCGAAAGGTTATGTTGTGTGCTCTTTGAAATCTCTCTGTTTATCTTATTGGTAATATACTGGCTTCATTTCAAATAAAATAAAATAGCAGGGGAGAGATGCTTGTTCAGAGACCGAGGATCATTCATAATCAAGATTAATCTAGAGCGCAAACAAACATATACCGAGAAATCAATATGTGTGGTCATTTATTGAAATAACAATACATGTGTGAGCAGGTGCAGCTATAACCAATGCCGTCTAACCTATTTGCAGCTGCAGTTATCCAACCTTTTGATCTGGCCTTATCCTGACTGATTCCAGCTTTCACCAGGTCATGTGCACATGTGGGAATACAGCTCTTGCATTAAACCTTGGCAACAGTGCCAGGAAATGTTACTGCCATTTGTCAGAAGCAATTTGCTAATGGTAATCTTGTCATATTTTAAACGCAATTATGGGTTGTTATTTATCAAAGTCTGACAACTACAAAACTGTGACAATATTAGAGAAAAACAGGCATCTGGTTTTTAAGATAGAAAATATGTGATTTATGTTGCAGTATTTAAATCTTGCCTTTTTTTATGCTTTTTGTTGATTTTTCTAAATACGTTGTAGGTCTATCTATTATTATTATTATTGCCATTTATGTAGCACCAACAGATTCCGTAGCGCTTTACAATATTATGAGAGGGAGGATTAAACTATAAATAGGACAATTACAAGAAAACTTACAGGAACGATAGGTTGAAGAGGACCCTGCTCAAATGAGCTAACAGTCTATAAGAGGTGGGGTGTAAAACACATTAGGACAGGAAATAGCAATCAAATAAGGTCGGAGTGAAGCAGAGCTGGAGGAGAGAGTAGACTGCTGCTCTTTTGGAGAGAGCAAGAGACAGGTATGTAAGGTAGATGTTACTCTGGGATGCCCTAAGCTTTCCTAAAGAGATGGGTTTTAAGGCACTTCTTAAATGATTGAAGACTAGGGGAGAGTCTGATGGCGGTAGGCAGGCTATTCCATAGGAAGGGAGGCATCCGCGAGAAGTCCTGCAAGCGTGATTGGCCGTATGGGTGTGAGCAGCGGACAGGAGAAGGTCACGGGCAGAGCAGAGAGACTGAGAAGGGGCATACCTATGGATCTGTGAAGAGATATAAGAGGGGCTAGAATTACTTAGTGCTTTATAGGTATGGGTTAGCACTTTGAATTGACTCCTACAGGATACAGGAAGCCAATGTAAGGAGTGAGAGAGGGGTCAGGTGTAAGAGGACCGACTAGAGAGGAAAATCAGTCTAGCGGCAGCATTCATTACAGACTGTAGAGGGGCAATATGGCTTTTGGGAAGACCAATCAGGAGAGGGTTACAATAATACATGCGGGAAATTACTAGAGCATGGACAAGCTACTTGGTAACGTCTTGTGTAAGATCTATCTATCTATCTATCTATCTATCTGGACAGACAGACAGGTGTCTATCAATTTAGAAATATTTTTCATACTCGAAATTCACTCAAAATTTTACTTATCTAAAAGATAAAAAGGTATTTCCACTATTAACAAAGTCTGATGTATGTTCAAAACTTCATACATTTTAGTGACTCTGCTTGATACCGCTTAGCTTGACAGATGGTTAAAATGGCACTGACCAATTTCAAAGCTGTTGGAAAATATATTTGTCATCCTAAAAATACATTTGGCACCATACATGCAAGGAGGGCTGTTTTAAAGGATTAACTGTGATACAATGAAATGTCAAATAAAGAACATTCTGTAGCTTTCCAAGTAGTTCACATTCTATATCTAAATGTGAGTGCAATTAATTAGAGCAACCTGTAAGTACTTCTATAATAGCAAGTCACATCCACTTTAATAGATCAGACTGGCACCCTCACTGGGAGGGATATGCTGAACAAATATGTTAAATGACTATAAGTGTTTAGAACTCATAAATCCCTCTCGTAATCCTTAAAGGTATGCAGAGTCATAGAGAGTCTTTCATCCTTTGATCGTACTCGTCAAAACTCTTTGGAGACAAGTTCTACACTTTAAATCAGAACTCTTCATAATACAGTCGGTCATTGAGACATTCCTTAAATAATATTTTTAGCAGACATAAAATAGTAGAAAATAATGAGTTGTTAAAATCATTCAATAATGACTGATATGTGATATATATCAGAAATCAGATTCTGCATTTTATTTAACCCCTTAAGGACACATGACGTGTGTGACATGTCATGATTCCCTTTTATTCCAGAAGTTTGGTCCTTAAGGGGTTAAGTAATACATATAAATGTAACTTTTTAATTTCTAATTCTCATTTCTAATCTGGTATGAGTAGTTTTAAATTAACAGTCATACAAGGAATTCTAGTGTCCAAGACCATCTATTTTATTCTTTTGGTGGAACAATAGTGGTGTTGGAGTATGCAACTCACTTCTCACCAGCCACCCCTCTTAATTCCTAGTGGCTCGCAAATGTTTATTTCACATGACACTTGAAACTTTTGGACAGAGTCTGGTAGAGCAGTTGAATATATGCAAATATGTGGGACCTTGGTGAGAATCACTACTCTCTGTTTATTGTAATACATAAGAAAGTATTAGGATAGTATGTAATGCACTGGTGCCTTCTGTGCTTTGTTAGTGTATAGCCCCTAGGTGGTTGCATTAATTGCAGTGACTATCTAATAAATACTAGCAAATGATGTATAATCATAATAATAAAATAAGTATTAGCTAGTTTACCTAGATAAATATTTATATTGTAGTAAAAAAGTTTATAGAACAATACAGATGTCAACTAAAATACTACTAACTTCTCATATGCTTTTATCTTGAGAAAGATTTTTTGTTCAGCCATCTTTATTTATTTTACTACACTCATAAAAGTCACTGAGTTAAATCTTACATGACAACATTGCTGTAAACTACAGAAAGCACTAGTAAATTAAGCAATTCTATAAAATATGGTATATGATAACCCCACTGAACTTGAGTGGCCAGATATTTGAAACGACTCAAGTGGTATTAAAATAGAGTTTTTATTGCTTGGTATTTATATAGAGAGTGTTTTTACGTATTGGTATTTACACAATATTTAAAGAAATACTATTTATATAAGCTAATGCTTACCATATTATTGCAACTTTTTTCTTGTTAATGTGGTACAATTATAGGTAATAAACAGTGGAAAGAGGGTAACCTTTGCAAGTAAATTCACATGTCCTGTTAATTAATTGACCCAGTCTAACCTAAAACCACATTAATTTTCTTGTTTTTTATATTAATGTAGATATTGTGGCTACTAAGAACACATTAGTTAAATGTTGATTATCATTTCTATATCAAGTCGCACTTGTGCATCACGACACCCTCGATTTTGTAATGTCTCTGTGAGTGTGATGAACACAAAAGTGTACCGTGGTGTGCCTAGCCCTTTGCAGGATAACCAGTCAGCCTGGCACACATTGACACCAGTATGAAAAACGCCCTCCAACTATGGCCTTGCACATTGCCACTGAGACAAATTTGGCATGCCCCCACTTTTCTCTTGTCCCGTCTTCATACGTGCCAGTGTTTGGTAGGTATGCCATAATGGATTCTTTGCAGTCAGACACCATAAACAGATAACTGGAAAATATTTCACATGTGCAAATTATTGCAGCATCCAATATGACTTTCACAAGTTAAGGGTATAAGAGTTTCTAATGCTCTAATCCATTTTTTTCTCTAAATTACATAAAAATGTTTTGCCTCCTTCTATGCCTCTATGAATATTCTGCATGACAGTCTACCTCTTGACAGCTATTATATTAGTCCTGATTGGATGCTCCATGACAGGTTTCTTTTTGGCTTAAAGGACCACTATAGTGCCAGGAAAACATACTCGTTTTCCTGGCACTATAGTGCCCTGAGGGTGCCCCCACCCTCAGGGTCCCACTCCCGCCCGGCTCTGGAAGGGGGAAAGGGGTTAAAACTTTACCTTTTCCAGCTTGGGCGGAGAGCCTCCTCCTCCTGATCCTCCTCTTCTTCTCCGGCCGCTGAATGCTACATCGCAAGAGCCGCGCCAGATTCAGTTTGTCACATAGGAAAGCATTATCAATGCTTTGAGACGCTATGCGCTCTCACTGTGATTTTCACAGTGAGAAGCACGCAGCGTTTAGCCGCTGTCAATGAGACAGCCACTAGAAGAAATAGGGGAAGGCTTAACGCATTCATAAACATAGCAGTTTCTCTGAAACTGCTATGTTTATGAAAAAATGGGTTAACCCTAGCTGGACCAGGCACCCAGACCACTTCATTAAGCTGAAGAGGTCTGGGTGCCTAGAGTGGTCCTTTAAGCAATTACCTGAAATGTATTGTCACATAACTGCTGACCTGCTGGGCACTCCTGATTTGTGTGTTCATGTAATATGTTTTTTAGGCTGATGCATATAGACTTGTCTGATATCAAAATTTTTTATATTTTTTAAAAAAAATACTTTTTTATGTTTTTAATATGATATATTTTTATGTATGATATATAGTGATGTCCCGAACGGTTCGCCGAACGGTTCGCGAACGGTTCGCCACGGAAAGTAAACTTTGACCCTGTACCTCACAGTCAGCAGACACATTCCAGCCAATCAGCAGCAGACCCTCCCTCCCAGGCCTTCCCACCTCCTGGACAGCATCCATTTTGAAGCTGCATTCTTAGTGAGCTGTCCAGGAGGTGGGAGGGTCTGGGAGGGAGGGTCTGCTGCTGATTGGCTGGAATGTGTCTGCTGACTGTGAGGTACAGGGTCAAAGTTTACTCAATATGAGTCTGTGGCGAACCGTTCGTGGCGAACCGTTCGCGAACTGTTCGGCGAACCGTTCGGGACATCACTAATGATATATTTTTTGATATTATAATATTTTAATATATAATTGGAAAAGCTAATCCAAAAATCTTGAATTGAGACCTTAAAAAGAAGGATTATCATAAGGTAGACAATGTTTGGTTTCAAACTGCATCTCACTGGCAATTCCTGCCCCTAGGCCATAACTCACATTGTTGTTTTATGTTTATATATAACCTTGACAGTGTTATACACTAAACCATGTGTTGTAGGAATTCCCCAAGGGAATACACATTTAAGGTCAATTATAAAACTCTCCTACTTTACTTCCAACTCCTGGCAATTCATGGTTTAACCAATAACCCTTAGGTATTGTAACGGCTACCCTGGTAGAGAGAGGGTATCGGCCGTTGGAGACGTCCTTTTTCCCTGCAAGCTGCTGTGGAGAAGTAAGCTGGTATAATCCCATTCACGATATCCAGAGTAAAAGTCAGGTTCAGCTGTAACAGGAGCAGAATAACATTCCCAAATAATCCCCTTCCAAGAACGAGACAAGGCTACGTTTTGCAGGGTCAAGAAGATCTGAGGTCTGGGAGAACCAGCCTGCTTTTTATTAGGAACAAGTACACACAGGACACTCCCAGGGGGAGGATGAAAATAACCAATTACACACAGGGTAACACCCCCACGTCTCCTCCCCTCAGATAAACACATAACATAATTATAACGTACATAAATTTACCCACATTCTGGATGTACCCCCAAAACAGGGGGTACACCTTTAAGTCCAGCACCGCTTAATAGCTACCACTTAGGGGAATAACATATTCAAATTTCAAGTCATTCGGTTGTGGGGTTCGGGAGTTATGGGTCTTTGAAGTTTTGACCGACCGCACAGGATTTTCAGCCGAAAAGAGTTCCACAAGTTTTGGCCTTGCGGTCGGTCCCCGTTCGTGAATAAAAACCCCACGAACCCCTTGCCCTCCACAGTAATCCTGCCGTTCGCCTGAATCCCCATGCATGCTTAAACAAAACTACCGAACGGCCGGTCGTTCGGTAGTTTCAGCACGAACTTACGAGCTCCTGGAGGTCTCAGCGGTGTTCGCCTGTTTGCGTATCCGTTTTTAGTTCCATGCGTTCACAGGCAAACACCGCCGTTCGTGCGTAAGATGGCCGCGAACACGTGTAAAGTCCCGAAATGGCGGCCACCTATTCTCAGACAAAGGGATTCGTCTGAACCAGGCGAACGGCTGTATTCTCCAGTAATGGTATTCCCTTGCAATAATTTCGCCATTTTCACTGTTTTAGTCCACAGGGCTTTGGTGCTGGTGAAGTCCTGTTACACTGCTCCCCTTTTGTGGAACACCCCGGCAGACCCGGATTGATCCTTTTCGGGTCAACTTGGGGCTGTCCGGTCCATTGTTAGGGTAATAGTTCTGTTTGTCTGGACAGACCATCGGCATTTCCATTAAATTTGCCAGGGCGGTATTGGATAGAGAAGTTATAGGGTTGCAGTGCGAGGCTCCATCTTAATAAACGCCCATTGTCTCCAGCTACTCTATTCAGCCATACCAGAGGGTTATGGTCGGTGATTAGAGTAAATTCCTGCCCGTACAAATATGGGGTGAGTTTCTTTAGTGCCCAGACTAGGGCCAAGCATTCCTTTTCCACTGCCGCGTAACTCACTTCCCTAGGTAACAGTTTTCTACTGAGATACGCGACAGGGTGCTCGCTTCCATCTTCACCGACCTGGCTTAGAACTGCCCCCAGTCCATACATGGATGCATCTGTATGGACGACAAATCTTTTGTTAGGGACGGGGGCAGACAGGACAGGTGCATGGATTAGAGCATTCTTTAGGGCTTGAAAGGCGGTTTCACAGGCGGGAGACCACAGGACTATCCTAGGCAAGTTCTTTTTGGTTAGGTCTGTCAAGGGTTTTGCGATGGCGCTATAGTCTGGGACAAACCTCCTATAATATCCTGCCGTCCCCAAAAATGCTAAGACCTGAGTTTTGGTGTGGGGTGTGGGCCAGTTAGCTACCGCTTCAACTTTAGCGGGTTCTGGGCGCTGCTTCCCACATCCCACCCGGTGTCCCAGGTACTGGACTTCGGCCATGCCGAAGTTACACTTCTCTGGTTTCAGAGTCAAGCCTGCGGCTCGAATCTGATCCAGTACGGCTTCGACATGCTTTAAATGCTCCCCCCAGGTTTCGCTATAGATCGCAATGTCATCCAGGTACGCGCAAGCGAAATCCTGGAAGCCATCAAGGAGGCGGTCCACTAAGCGCTGGAATGTAGCCGGGGCGTTTTTCATCCCAAATGGCATGACTTTGAACTGGTACAAGCCAAATGGGGTGACAAAGGCCGACTTAGGGATAGCCTCCTTGTCCAGGGGGATCTGCCAATATCCTTTGCACAAATCGATGGTGGTCAGATAACGTCCCCTGGCAATGCGATCTAATAGCTCGTCTACTCGGGGCATGGGGTAGGCGTCTGTCACGGTTCTGTCATTGAGACGTCGATAATCGACACAGAACCGAGTGGTTCCGTCCTTCTTGGGGACTAGAACCACCGGGGAGGCCCACGGACTGTCCGAGGGCTCTATCACCCCCAGTCTTAACATTTCTTGGATCTCCTTCCTCATCTCCTCTTTTACTGCCTCAGGGATCCTATAGGGGGTTTGTCGGAGAGGGGTTTGTCCTGGGGTCTCTACATAGTGGGTTGCTAAGGGGGTGTACCCGGGCTCTTGGGAAAACGTCAACCCTTTCTCAGTCAGCAGCTGTCGGATCTGTCCCTTTTCGGCGGGAGTTAACCGCTCCCCTAGCTGTACGGTATTGAGTAGGGTTTTAGGTTCTGGGTTAGCTAATAGGTCGGGTATGGGTAAGCTGTCAGGGTCTTCGGCAGCGGGTATGCATATGGCGGCTATATCCTCGGGTCTTTCCTGATATTCCTTTAGTAGATTTATATGAAAGGACTTCCGGATCCTTTCATCTTTGTTGCTGGCGATTACGTAGGTGGTGTCACAGACTTGTGCTACCACTTTGTAAGGGCCCTGCCAGGAGGTCTGGAGCTTATTCCCTTTGACAGGTCTAAGTACCAGCACCTTCTGGCCTACTTGGAAGGTTCTCTGGCGGGCGCCCTGATCGTACCAACGTTTCTGGTGCCCTTGGGCCGCATGGAGGTGGTCCCGTGCCATCCGGGCTAACTGTTCCATACGGTCCCGCATTTCTAATACGTATGGCACGATGGGTACACCGTCGTGTTCTGTCTCCCCCTCCCAGTGCTCCCGGATGAGGTCGAGAGGTCCTCGTACTCTCCGGCCATAGAGCAGTTCAAAGGGAGAGAACCCTGTGGATTCCTGCGGCACCTCCCGATAAGCGAACAGGAGGTGCGGCAAGAATCGTTCCCAGTCTCTGTATTCCGCTGTAAAGGTCCTCAGCAATTGCTTTAGGGTACCGTTAAAGCGTTCACAGAGACCGTTAGTCTGCGGGTGGTACGGGGAACTAAGCAGGGACTTAATACCACAGACCTTCCACAGCTGTTGGGTTAGGTCTGCGGTAAACTGGGTCCCTCTGTCGGACAGGATTTCCTGGGGGAATCCCACTCGGGTGAATATCCCGACTAAAGCACTGGCGACAGTGTCAGCCTGGATATTCGTCAGAGCGACGGCTTCTGGGTAGCGAGTAGCATAGTCCACCACGGTAAGGATGTATTTCTTACCAGAGGGACTGGGGTTAGGTAGGGGTCCCACTAGGTCGACTGCTACCCTGCTAAATGGTTCCTCGATCACAGGCATAGGTAACAGTCGAGCTTTAGGGTGATCCCCTCTCTTCCCTACCCGTTGGCATACGTCACAAGTACTGCAGTAACGTCGCACATCCTTCGAGATCCCCGGCCAAAAGAAGGTCTGGGTGATCCTGAAGGTGGTGCGGTTACCCCCTAGATGTCCTGCCAACGGAATGTCGTGGCCAATTCGGAGAAGTTCCAACCGGTACTTTTTGGGTACCACCAGTTGGCGCTTCTGCGAAGGGGCACAGCCTCTCTTTCTGCCTTCAGCCAGTCTGTATAACCTGTCCCCATCCCATAGAAAACTTTCCCGTCCGTCCCCCCCACGGTCAGCTAATTCCCGATACTTTTGGAGGGTGGGGTCCTCTCTAGTTTCCCTCCCAAACTCCTCTGGGGTGTCCCAAGCTATGGGCCTGCTTATCGTAGTGGGGTGACATGTGGGTGCTTGGCTTACCTGGGTCTCCCGGCCTGTATTAGGATCATCTGCGACACGGGACTGTGAACGGGTGGTTACGGGACAGGCGGCAGCAGGTGTGGGCAAATATGCTGAAGTTAAAGGTCCAATGTCATTTCCCAATACGACCTCGGCAGGCAAGTTGTCCATAATGCCGACGGTGGTTTTTCCTGATCCAACTCCCCAATCTAAGTGTACTCGGGCGGTGGGCAAGCGAAAAACAGCGCCCCCTGCGACCCGAACAGCAACAGTGCGGGTAGACACATCCTCCGGCTTCACTAGGTGTTTTTGGATCAAAGTGATGGTAGCCCCGGTGTCTCTTAGGCCTTGTGCTGTTTGTCCATTCACCTTAACCTCCTGTCGGTGATGTTGTCGATTGTCTGGGGAGGCAGCTTGTATGGGGTCTGCTTCATACAAAATCCCCAGACATTCTTCAGGGCCCATTTCGGCTTCCAGACAGTGAGCCGCAGCGGGTCGTGCTGCAGGGGCCTCTGGGCTGGGCGTTGTACGCCTCCAGTTGTTGTTACTGGATCTTAGGGGACAATACCGGGCAATATGTCCGAGGTTGCTGCAGTGATGGCACGTCACCTTGGACAAATCCCGGGGGTAGTTAGTAGGCCCCTGAGGACGGGGTGGTCCTGGTGGGACTGGAGCCCGAAATTCTGGGCGTGAGACAGCGGCTGGGGCGCGTGGCTCTATTT